CGAATAATCCAGCCCTTTGAATCTGGCGCGGTCTTCCTAAGTATCGTGGAGGGACCGCGTCAGAAAAAAGGGCGGGGCTGAGCGCCGTGAACCCGGAAGTGGGTTCCGGCGACGAAATACATGCCATGCTATACCTGACAGTTAGATGGATAGAGATGAATGCTTGCACTGTACGAATAATGTAATGTTTATAAATCCTATCTTCTTTTGGTTCTATTCTCATTTTGTAGACTTGTTTAAAATCTCCAATCTATCATTGCTATTGAGAGTGCAAACCCTTCCACTCCTCCACCCCTTCCTTCTCCATGACTTTAGCCACAGATTACCTTCCATAATCTCCCACTGCCTTTCGACTGTAGTATGTGGTATAGGTAATATCTATGAAAATACCACCTGATGGTCTTTTTCTTCAGTTTACTTCATAATTCCCTGAACTCATTCTTTAGGGCCCTCCATTTTCCTCTATGTTGTTGCATGTAGTGTAGATTGGATTAGCCGTATTAGTCCAATAGACAAGATCCCAAAATACCAGAGTATTGCTTCAGACCTGAGGAAGAGAGGAAAACTCCAGAAAGCTTGTCTTTGAAAATATTTTGTTAGTCCAAAATTACATTACATACTGCAATACTCTGGTATTTTGCCATCTTGTTGCATGTAATTTCTCTTGTCTGAAACCTTTGCAAGCCCACTCCTTCTTACCCTGCCCAGACTTTATGTGGCTGTCCAATCACAGAATTCCCAATGCCGTTCAATAAAAAGTCTTTGCAGGTTTTGTGGGCAACTGCCTGTCTCTTGAGTTTAAACAGACATAAACATTACACATTACTTTGGGTTTTATTGCTGTGGATCCCTGTGATACATTAATACTGATTGCACATTACAGTTGGGGTTATTCACTAAACATCGAATTCCAACATTTAGGACTAAATGCATGCGGCAGAATGCACATTTGCAAACGATCGTTTACTTGCTTTTTGCTTGCTGGTAACGGATCAGTCCTTTTGCACCCGAATCCTATACAAAGTATAAGATTCACAAAGCACCGATTCTAATAAAATAAAGTTTGGTTTGCCAGGACAACCCATTGCTGTTTCCTGCTTCCTGGGCTGGTGCTGGATGGTAAAACTGTAGGGTTGGAATGGCAGGCTCCAGTGCAGCAGCCTGACATTGTCCTCGTCTACCCAGTTTAGCCAGGTCAGAGGGTTCTGGTCCATCAGAAAAGTGATAGAACATTAGTATAAGTATGGTTGCTACTTCTTGAGGGCCCAGACAAAAGCCAAATGCTCCTTCTCCACAGTGACATAGCTGACTTCTAGGAGCAGGAGTTTCTAGCTGATTAAGGTGTCATGCCAAAAGCATGAGTTGGTGTTTGATGTGTGTTGAGATATGTTGAGAGTTGTTTTTGTGTAAACCTTGGGATGACGTTTATTGTGGTCTTTGATCTGGCACCAGGCTTAGACCATAAAACATCTAGATAGCCATCACCAGAGCTGGACACAAGGAACTGCATAGAGTGGGCAATAAACTGCCAGACCACCCCCTTTGATCGCCCCAGGGGTCTGCCCACTGGGAAACAACTAGTTTTGATATATAATGAGGGTGCTGGACTATCCAGGAAGTTCAGTTATTCAATTTTCTTTTGTCAGCAACTTCTAGGAGACCTATACCATCTAAGACTCCCACAAGAATTCTATATGGGGTAACTACATGTAAGGAATTTCTTGTGTTTTCTCCTATTTTATTTTATGTACTGTTTTGCAATTTGTTATCTGTATGTCATTTATTTCTGTATTTTGTACTCAGCACTGTGAATCTTTTTTGTCCGATTAAATGTTTACTTAATCAGCTTGTGTCTCTGTTCTCTATGAGCTTCACTCTCCAGAGGAAAGTTCATTAAACACGTTACCAAAAAGTGTTAACTATATGTGTTTTATCAGTAGATGTAGAACTGTGATACTATAATTCTCCTGTGTGTGGAGTAACCTAAGACGCCCGGGTTTAAATGTCTTGGTGGTGGCAGTAAAGTGTGTACTAAGGGGGTTAGTGTAGAAGGGATTGCAGGGGTTAATTGAGTTGTTGCTGGGACTAGCAACAGGTAACCAGGGGTCTGGTGTCATTAACCCTGTCACTTTCACACTCTCCCCACTGTCTTGGCTGGGCCTATAGCCCACGCTCGTGACAGAAGGCAACTGGATGCTCCCTCCTATTGTCCCTGTGACGAAGTGCCCTTCGCCACTTGGTCCTGGAGAGGCCTACTTGCCAGCCTCCTCCCCTGTGACTATGACTCTTTCATGTATTTGGCTTTAAAGCCCCTAGTCTACCTTCAGACAGACTATTTATGTAGGCTGCTTTATTTATCTTATGTTTTAGTCACCCTGTACCCATTATAGGTGCAGGGTGTGTGTAATGTAATTGTTTATAGTGTGTGTGTGTGTACTGTGTAATGTATTGCCTGCTCTCTTGTATTGCTGAGGTTTGCTACCAACTAGGTGGGTTTGGCTATGGAGCTGGTCTAGTGCCCTCTGTTGGTAGCAACAGCAATATGCACTACCTGAATTGCAAGACTGGTTCATTTGCATATTCGGGTAGATTTGCATATTGCTAATTCTGCAGGCAGGTGAGATATTTACTGTTAAATATTGTCTCCCCCCACCCCTTTAAAAATGTGCCATTGTGTTGTGATAAGTCACTGTGTGTTGCTTGATATGGTTTGACTGTTTGTGATTTTATTGAGGTTTCACAACAATGTTATTGTGGTGACCCTATTGGCTGGTCCCAAGGGAAATAAAGGTTTTGACAGTTCTTCTTGATCCTTCTAAACGTAGCCTTGTCTCGTTATTGGAGGGAGCTGTTATAATCACACTGGGGATTGCTATGCTCTGCATGCTCCCCTGAGCTTGAGTCACTTAGCTCTTTTAAGAGCTTGTTCCTGACACGCTCTCCTTGGAGGAGGGGTCTTCACCACACAGTCCTGGAGGACAGAAGCTGATCCAGGGTGGAAGGAAGACGGCGAGACTCCAGTCAAGATACGGCGGTTGCGGAGTCTGCGGTGGTTGTGGTGTCTGCTGCAGTGCTTGGAGTCCTCAGGAAGCGCTAGGAGCATCCATCAACGGAGGGTACTCAGTCGGAGTACAAGGAGCTCCGTTACATTGGTGGCAGCGGTGGGATGGCGTCCTAGTGCGAGGAGAAGCAGCTCGGAGACACTGGTATCGTATGAGAGGTTATTGAGGGCAACGCTAGCCACTGTGCAGCGTCCCTAACTACAGCAGCATGGAGCAGGGATGGATAGAGCCCTGCGAAGAGCACCTCAACATGATACGTCGCTACGAGGACGACGCTTACATTGAGGAGGTAAAGAGGCGGTTGGTCTGCTATGGCCCAGACCTTTCGAACGAGGTGGTCCACCAAGTAATACGCCAGTTGAGTGCTGAGAACAGTGCGGCAATGGCCTTTGAGCGACAACTGTGGAGGTTGAGGATATGGACACCTAGTCTCCAGCGGCAGTGCAAGTTACAGGGAGCCGAAGGTGTCGTCCTTCCTCCCCAGCGGCAGTGCAAGTTACAGGGAGCCGAAGGTGTCGCCCTTCCTCCCCAGCGGCAGTGCAAGTTACAGGGAGCCGAAGGTGTCGTCCTTCCTCCCCAGCAGCAGTGTGTTCTACAGGGAGCAGAGACAGTTGGTCTCTCTCTCCAGCAGCAGGACAATGTTATGGGAGTGGAGACAGGCGGTCTCCCTCTCCAGCGGCAGCCTGTGTTTCAGGGAGAGGAGCACAGCACCCTATCTCCCCAGCGGCAGCTTACCCTACCAAGGGGAGACACCAATCTCCCAGATGGCGCAGAGGGGACTGTGGTCTATGTGCCTGACCTACAGGGATGCTGGACAGCCTGTCCAGATCCCCAACTACCCTCACAGGGACAACAGGAGGAGGGGGTAAGTACGAATTCCCCTCCCCAGCTAACTCCTAACTTGGCTTCAGGGTTAACAGGGGAGATGTTAACCCCCACTGACCCCCATGTTCCCCTGGCTACTGAGCTGGACTATGTCCCAAGCCCCCCAGCGGAAGAGCTGGCAGCTGGGCAGAGTGCAGTCGGCCTCTGCCCTCCCTTTGTCCCTTTTCCAGAGCCTGATGTCCTGCAGGCTACACCAGCAGAAGAGCTGGCATCAGGGCAGACTGCCGCTAGCCTCTGCCCTACCGATCCCCTTGTCACAGGACTGGCCTGCACCCCCCTCCTCCCAGCAGAAGCGCTGGCATCAGAGCAGAGCGCCGCTGGCCTCTGCCCCTCAAGTCCCCTCAGCGTGTTGCCACATCACCCCAGAGGAATACCCAGGTGCAGTCACTGTTTGCTGTGGGTGGGTTGCTCTAATAACTGTTTGTTGTGGGTGGGCTACTCTGGCACTTGCTTATGGTCGGTGGGTGACTCGACTAACTTAGGCACTGACCGATAGAAAGTCAGGTGCCTGGTTAGTCTTCCCCCCGAAGGGGAGATATGTGACGAAGTGCCCTTCGCCACTTGGTCCTGGAGAGGCCTACTTGCCAGCCTCCTCCCCTGTGACTATGACTCTTTCATGTATCTGGCTTTAAAGCCCCTAGTCTACCTTCAGTCAGACTATTTATGTAGGCTGCTTTATTTATCTTATGTTTTAGTCACCCTGTACCCATTATAGGTGCAGGGTGTGTGTAATGTAATTGTTTATAGTGTGTGTACTGTGTAATGTATTGCCTGCTCTCTTGTATTGCTGAGGTTTGCTACCAACTAGGTGGGTTTGGCTATGGAGCTTGTCTAGTGCCCTCTGTTGGTAGCAATATGCACTACCTGAATTGCAAAGACTGGTTCATTTGCATATTCGGGTAGATTTGCATATTGCTAATTCTGCAGGCAGGTGAGATATTTACTGTTAATATTGTCTCCCCCCACCCCTTTAAAAATGTGCCATTGTGTTGTGATAAGTCACTGTGTGTTGCTTGATATGGTTTGACTGTTTGTGATTTTATTGAGGTTTCACAACAATGTTATTGTGGTGACTGTATTGGCTGGTCCCAAGGGAAATAAAGGTTTTGACAGTTCTTCTTGATCCCTTTAAACGTAGCCTTGTCTCGTTATTGGAGGGAGCTGTTATAATCACACTGGGGATTGCTATGCTCTGCATGCTCCTCTGAGCTTGAATCACTTAGCTCTTTTAAGAGCTTGTTCCTGACACGCTCTCCTTGGAGGAGGGGTCTTCACCACACAGTCCTGGAGGACAGAAGCTGATCCAGGGTGGAAGGAAGACGGTGAGACTCCAGTCAAGATACGGCGGTTGCGGAGTCTGCGGTGGTTGTGGTGTCTGCTGCAGTGCTTGGGAGTCCTCAGGAAGCGTTAGGAGCATCCATCAACGGAGGGTACTCAGTCGGAGTACAAGGAGCTCCGTTACAGTCCCCGACCTGGCTCAACAATGCTCCAAGTCCAAACACAGAAGCATTTTTATGGACGAGAAAATGTTTGGGGTGGTCAGGACCAGCCATCAATGGAACATTGGTTAAAGCTGTCTCAAGTTGTTGGAAAGCCATCTCACACTATGGGTACCACTGTACCTCAGGTCCATCAGAGGCTTCACAATAGTTCTACAGTCTGTAACACCCTGCTGTCCCTAGAAAAGCCAGGACTTGTGTCTTAATGCGGGGCCAGACCAGGTGGCAACTGCTTCTCTTTTTGCTGGTTCTGGTCATTGCTTTAAACAACTCACTCAATATTCTAGGTACTTTACCTCCGCCATTCCATCATGGCATTAAGCAAAGGCTAGTAAGGTGCTTTGGTGTATAAAAACGAGTTTTATTTCACATGATCTACATATAATTTTGCCTCTTTACAAATCAATAGTAAGACACCACCTTGAATATGCAATTTTGGGCTCTAGTTTTAAAGAAGAATATTGCAGAACAAGAAAAAGTGCAGAGACGAACTACAAATCTAATAAGAATGATGGAGAACATTAGTTATGAGAAAAGGATTATACAAATTTATGCAGGGTCAGTACAAACCACTATGTGCTAACCTGTACATTAGTAGCAATATACAACAGAGAAGAGGTCACCCTGGACCTGGAATAAATGTGTTTTTGCTTACAGAAGAGGAAAGGGTTATTTGCAGTAAGAATATTAAAGATGTGAATTCTCTTCCTAAAGAGGTTGTGTTGTCAGATTCTACAGATGAATTTAAAAAGGCTTGAATGCTTTTTTTCATAAACAGAACATCCAAGGATTTAATTGATGTGTATATATAAACAGGTTGTTGATCCAATATGAAATCTGTTTGCCACAAAGGATTTTTTCCCCTTTTTGTGGCATTATTAAAATTGGCTACAATTGGGTGTGTTTCTTTGGTTTGTTTTTTTAGCTTTTTTGTGGATCAATAGCATAACGAATGGTCTTGCCAGTTGAACACTAGTATTTTTTTTTAACCTAGATAACAATGTAACTGTTCAATAAGTAAAAATGTTCGTAAATGTTTAATTAATAAAATAACAGTAATGTTTATAAGTAACCCAGTCACAGGCCTCAATTAAATTAGAGACGATAACATTTATCGGCAGTTTGTCGGCTCCCAATGAGCAATTTCAAGCAGCTCTGTCACGTCCTTTTCAAAATTAGTATATCGTAAAAAAAAAAAAAAAAATCTTTATGAAATACTTATTATTAAAATGAACTGTGTTGGAATTTCAATGAAAAAAGATATTCTACTTTGTCTTAGTTTATTAAAGGCAGAGGTACCACCATCAACTTACCCATGCAGAGACACGTCTTCCGCGAGGCAAACAAGGCATCTGCTTTGGGCGGCACTTTGCAGGGGGCGGCAAAAAAAGCCGCCCCCAAACGCCAAGGCAGATCCCTTGCTTGCCCTGTGTCCTGGGGGGCTCAAGAGCTGGCCGGCTGTGTGTGTCTGTAAGTGTGTGTGTCTGTAAGTGAATGTGTGTGTGTGTCTGTAAGTGTGTATGTGTGTGTGTCTATATGAGTGAATATGTGTGTGTGTCGGTCAGTGAGTGCGTGCGTCTGTCAGTGAGAGTGCGCGTCTGTCAGTGTGTATCCAAGTGATAGTGTGTGTGTGTGTATGTCATTGTTTGTCAGTGTATATGAGAGTGTCTGTCAGTGAGTGTGCGTCTGTCAGTGAGTGTCCAAGTAATAGTGTGTGTGTATGTCATTGTTTGTCAGTGTATATGAGAGTGTGTGTCTGTCAATGTGTGTATGCGTCTGTCAGTGAGTGTGCGTCTGTCAGTGAGTGTGCATCTGTCAGTCAAAGTTGCTGCCTTGACAGGAAGGGATGGGGAAAATTTAAATTGGGGGAGGGTGCACCCAATTCCAATAATTGGTTACATCGAGTTCAACAACTCAAAGTAGTTGTGCTCACAGCGCATGTGCATTAGATCCCCCTAGTAGGGAGGAGCAGAGGCAGAGCTGGATTCAGGTAAGTGACAGAAGGTTTTTTTTTAACCCTTTTTGCGCTGTGGGGGATGGGGGAATACAAGTGAAGGGGTACTATAGTATTCCTAGCCCTTAGTTTCCCTGTAAATAGGCTGGTGGGTAGAGATACGTACTAGGATCGTTGGCCAGTGTCCTCTGTGATCCAGTCAGCCTTAATAGCAAGCTGCAGATATAGAAGGTGCAATACTCAGTGCTGTCCCAACTCCTCCAGTGTCTGTGTGTGAGGCTAGACAGGAAGTAGAAGGGATCACTTCCTATCTGCCCACTAACAGCCTCTCACAGGAAATGCCTTGATGCTCCCTGTGATGCACACTGTATAACCACTCCTGCAGCTCTGATATCATCAATAATAGGAGACTGACTTGTCTACAAAAGACATCAGCACTCAAAACCTAAACCTGAAAATAAACCATTTACTTTAACCCTATGTTTAACTCCTATTCAACACTAAACTCCTCATGCACCCAAATACTAAATTTAAATGAACTCTAACCCTAAACCCATTAATGCTAAACAGTCCTTGTACTAAAACTTTAAACCCTCTCAGGCTTTTAATCGTCTTAACATTATAAACCCTATGTCATGTAACTACAAAATAAACCAATTTCTAACCCTAAATGGTTACTCTAACCTTTTTTTTTTACGTTTTTGTTTTCAAAGTATAATGTCATATTTGGCATTATTTAGTCTGCCACCTCCCCCCAACACAAAAAAGGTAAAAAATAAAGTTATGTTACCTGGAATCCAAGGTCTGGCAAATCTCAAGGCGCTGCTTTCCACACCTCTTTAGTGACGTCAGGGCAGTCGTGCAAGGTCCAATCAGGGGATTCCCATAGAGAAGGCTGTGAGTGGACCATTTTGCAGACTCAAAGTGCATACGGAAGAGGAGGGATGACATATTTTGGCAATGGCAGGAGGGAGACGCACAGGGTGGGAGAGGAGAGTTAACTTCCTCTTGCAGGTGTTTTGCCTGCAATGGAGGAGATCTTTACATCCGTCGCCAGAATTTACAACATGCAGCTCGGAACTCTGTCACGTCACACGTGTGGGGGAGTGCAACTAGCCAGAGCACAAAAGTACAGAATAAATGCTAAAACACTGCGCGTACTTACTGCCACCACCATGGTCACTTCAAATCACTGAAGTGGTCATGGTGGTTGGAGTAACCCTTACTTAGAGGAACACTATATCAATGAATTCATTAATTTTTATCGCATCACTTTTTTTTTGTGGTGAATTGGGTCTCGTTTATTTTTAATAGTAGCATTGACAATTCATTTCTTTTGGGAGGGAGCTGATGAAAAGATTTAAGAAGGGAAAAAAAGTCTGACACATAAACTTTAATCTTTTATTTTACAGGTATTAGATTTATTGGGGCCCCTCACTATTATTAGGGTGATACAGATTTTGTTTTAATGGGGGGGGGGGAGGGGGGCTACTGGCTTGACAATATGTCAATCTCCCTTTATTTAATTAATAGCCTCCACCTGATGCCTATGGGTGGGAGCTGGGGGGAGAACAATAGGTCCCACCTTTACAATATTATTAGCCTCATTTGGCACCATGGGCCTTCTGTTAGTAGCCACCAGACACTGCCAAGTGGGTGGTGCTGGGGTCTGTATATTATTATTAGCAACAGCCAAACACACATGGGTGGAGGGACACGAAGTCCTAAACTTGTGTACTGTATTAGTAGCCCCCACCTGACGCTCACAGGAAAATAGCTGATCACTGTTTAGTAGACATACCCTCACCGCAGTATGATGAGCGCACGTATGTCTACTAAATATGGTGGTTATATTGACCGTCATAGGCTTTTAAAAAAGTTTATATTTGGAATGACTAATGTACCGATGCGCATTTATCGATGGTTTAATTTCGAGCTGTCAACCTGCTTATTGGGTTTGACTACTTGAATTTTTAGCAAGCATTAAACAGTTTTTTGGGGGCGGAGCCTAGCCAGCGAGCTGACAGGACGTGCTCTGCATGAGCTCCTGCCGACGAGTGCACAAGCTGCTGTTTAACCCGAGCTGCAGCGCCATAAACCTCCTGCAAGTCGGTCCACTGCACTGGGGAAACCTACCCGCCAAAATCGACACCCGGGATAACCGGGAACCGCAACAGTGGAGTGAGGCCTACCGTGGGAGGCGGCAGGAAAAGGCGGCCGCTTTCCTGCCAGTCGCATACAGCCACATACGAGCATGCAAAACTCTCCACCCATGGATCGGTGGGGGATATCCCGGTCCCCACCAAACGGAGAACCCCAAACCCCCCGATCCAGCCAGCGACGCATACTAGCAATGTGGGACTCAGGGCCTCCAAAATGGCAGACACATTTGATCCAGCTATGCGAGACAAACACCAGCCTACCAGGCCAGACACTAACAAGAATGCGAGAGACCGATCAACATAATCTTCGAAAAATTTTGGGCCAAACTACTGACATGCCTGCAGATCACTGTGCCAAGTCATATAAAGCCTACAAAGCAAGCAGCCCCGGCAGAGGGGACACCTGGAACACCGCCTACAGGCGTTTGGGAGCCCCAAGCTACAGACTCCCGAAACTGGAGCCCTCCTGGACCAAGAGCGAAAGGGGTTATACCCCACAGGTGCCAGCCACACCGGCGGAGGGGGGTAAGACATAAACGATAGCGACCTGTGAACAGGACCCACCGCAAAATCCTGACAGGGAAGACCCTGGGCCACACCGGAACCCAGTCTCATGGCAAAAGGGCATCAACTCTCAAACGGTACCAGGTC